TTGTACTGGTTGTTGCAGTCGGTGCTGTTGTAGTCAACGCAGGAGCTGCACCAAAGCAAAGCGGGCAACAACATGCCCCCAGTGGTGAACATCGATTGGCTAAAGGGCCACTGACCCACGAAAACACTCTGCCAAGTTCTGGAAAGAAAGGAAATGACGGAAAGAGCGGTGCCACGTCTGGCCTGCACAGAGTCAACAACGTTGGCTACGGGAACTTCATCAACAAACCCGTGACCTTTGACAGGTTAGACGACGGCTATCCGGACAGGGAACAACTCACGGAAATCGCTAACTTCGGTATTGGAATCGCCGTAGCACACAGGCAAACCAAATTTAGTCCCGTCCGGTACAACCACGGAGGAAACAGTCATGGAGGTTTTGGCAATGGTTTTAATAGCAACGGTGGTTTAATACATGGTTCCCATGACAACGGTGGTTTAGTACATGGTTCCCATGGCAATGGTGGTTTAGTACATGGTTCCCTTGGTAATGGTGGTTTAGTACATGGTTCCAATAGCAACGGTGGTTTAATCAATGTTGCTCATAGCAACAGTGGTCCAATACATAGTGTCCATAGTAATAGTGGTTTGTCCGGCGTTGTCCATGGCAACAATGGTGTCCATAGTAACGGTGGTTTGGTTAATGGCAACATTGGCAATCACTTGCAAGGTCGAGCTTCGTTCGGAGGCAACACAGGAGGATATTCTCAAATAGGCAGTGGATTTAACAGAATTGGCGCTAGCTTTGGTAAAGAGTTTAACCCCTTTGGTTCTAGTAATAGTGAGTTCCACCGACCGTCCAACCCTTCTTACCGACGACAGGTCACGTCATCAACACTGACAACATCCACGTCGGCGTCCCCGTGGCAAGCAGACCAGTCCACAGCAGACTGAAGGGATACGGTGACATCAACGCCGGTATCTCCACGTACAGACTTGGTATTAGGAACGTCGACCTCGGAGCCAATACCGCACACGACGGTCTGAACAACAACATTCCTTATGGTCAAAACAACAACATACCTTATGGTCAAAACAACAACATACCTTATGGTCAAAACAACAACATACTTCATGGTCAAAACAACCACTTGGGTGTGGCTGGTGCTGTTGGCGAAGACAGGGAGGGAAGAAGTAGTTACGGAAGTAATGACGTCTTCGGCAACGTGGGACAAGTTTACGCTGCTTCCGACGTTCAAGGACGTCCTTTCAAGACCGGCAGCCTTCGATTCCCTGGTGCACCACAAGCAGCGCCGGACAGCTTTAAAAACGACCAATTCTTCAGCGGAACAACAAATCTTGAAAATCACGGCATATCGGGAAATCTTCGCAGCAAAGGTAATCTTGGTAACCCTGGCAATGTGGCAAAAGTCGACACCAAAAGACGTGGTGGGACTCTTGGAAATGGTCATGAGTAAGCGAAAGAGTGTCTCCATTTGCGTCTGAGTATAGATTAGGGTCAAGCGGCAATCTTGGATATTTTCTGTGTAGGCTAAAGATTTAGATTCATATTCAGTGTAAAATTGTAGCCTGCAGAGAAACAATCTGGATTTACGTTATTCAAAATAATAAATGTGCCTGGACTGCCGAGCCTAGTGCGCAGCACGACGAGTCTATTCTGATGTCAATCCCGAAGCCTTGACGATATGGGCTGACGGTTATTCTAATGGTTGTGGATCATAACATTTAAAGACAGCCTGATGTATTTGTATTCCGTCGATGTCACAAAGATGACTAGTACATGTATTGTCAAGTTGCCAAATAAATGTTATAACTGAAATCTCTCACCTGTCGTGTTATACCCATTCCCGTATCAGTGTCTACTACACAGTAATGCTTACATTTAACGTATGGGTGACTGAGTCTAGTTTTACGCCACACTCAACAATATTCCAGCTATATGGTGGCGGTCTGTAAATAATTGAGTCTGGACCAGACAATCCAGTGATCAACAGCATGAACATCGTTCTACACAATTGAGATACGATGACATATGTCAACCAAGTCAGCGAACCTGACCACCCGATCCGGTTAGTTGCCTCTTACGACAAACATGGGTTACTAAAGATCAATTCTAACCCGGACCTTCAGGGGTCAATATTTGACGTATGTATTGAAAGCCAGTGTCGCTGTGTTTCCATCTGGCGACAGGATCACTACACTATCACAACTGATCTTCCTATTTTATGTTCAAATGCACGAAGACCCGTGAAGGTCCGGGTTAGAATATAGATCTTCAGTAACCCATGCTTGTCCATATAGCTTGAATATTGCTGAGTGCGGCGTAAAACTAAACTCACTCACTCGGGTGCACGAGGAAAGGGCTGCATTTGAATTAGATATGAACGTTGGATTTCAAATGAAAGAAAGGACAAGATTGCAACATGTATGTAGTCAAGTCTCCATATACCCGTTGTCTTGAACTCGGATGTGTTGAATACCCGTTATGTCGAATTTACAGTTGGAAATATATATCTGGTTCCAACGCATTGCTTCTTAATGGTGATATAGAAACATTTTAAGCACTGTATTTGTGAATATTGATCCTATACGACATCTCTGTGGGAGAAGATCTCTATTGTTATTGCGTCTTCTATACGTTGTTGCGATGGGTGTACTGCGAGAGAACTTAAGAATGTATAAGCTGCTATACGACATCGGTTCTGAAATCTCGATTTGTGCGTTTGGGTTGAACATCTGGCCCCAATTTCTCGAAACAAACTGAAGTCTGCGTTTTGACTTAAGTTAGAGTTTTTACTCAAATTTGAGAAAACGCAGGAAAATGCATTTCCCAGAATAAACTGAAATCGATGTTAAAGTCAAACAATTGTGACAATTTGAGTTGGGTGGATAGATTACTTAAGTTGTTTGGGCTTTTTTATTTTAAAAATGCAGTTGAGTTAAAATTTCAACTGTCTCAAATTGTCAAATTCAGTTTTACTTGAGTAAATGTTTGGAGAAATCGGGGCCTGATCTTATATCCTGAGTGAGTGAGTGAGTTGGATTTTACGTCGCTTTTTAGCACTATTCCGGCACATTGTACCCATGTAGGGAATCGAACCTTGCCCTTCGGCGTGACGAGCCAACGCTTTAACCACTAGGCTACCCTACCGCACCTCTTATATTTTGAACAATTATAACTAAGAAATGCAAATAAATAGCATGCTGCTCATGGACAAATTTTATTGATTTCACATTAGCAGGTGATTCTTGATCTGTTTAAAACATGATACTTTGATGGCTTTCCCATTATGCTCATATATGAGAGGCAAGTGTGTGTTTTGTGTGTGAAGATGTATCTCCGATGTTAAAATGAAAGTATAGAAGTTCCAACAACGTACAAACACATTCTCCATACATACACTTTTTCATTACAGAAAGTAAACTTTGAAAACTAGAAGCGTATTCTAAAAGAAGATTGTATAACATTTACTTATGTTCACTTGTGCCTATTACATTCAAATTATCTACATTGGATTATATCATAATCCACATGCTCATCCTTAATCTCTCCTATCGAGACAACGGTAGCAATGGGTATAATAACCAGATAACGCAAGTGAGTGAGGGAGTTCCAGCAATACCAGAAATGGGCTTCACACATTGTACCCATGTGGGGAATCGAACTTGGGTCGTCGGCGTGACGAGCGAACGCTTCAACCACTAGGCTACCCCACCGCCCTAGATAACGCAAGTAGCAACTTTTGTCAGAGTCACGTACACAGCATTGAAATCATAGATCTGATCGAGATGAGAAGAATGTAAAAATTAATATCTGATTAAAATGTAGTCCCTTTCTAAGCTGTCCTGGGCGGTGGGTAGCCTAGTTGTTAAAGGGTTCGCTCGTCACGCCGAAGACTCGGGTTCGATTCCCCACATGGGTACAATGTGTGAAGCCCATTTCTGGTGTCCCCCGCCGTGATATTGCTGGAATATTGCTGAAAGCGGCGTAAAACTAAAACTCACTCAGTCACTCTATGATATTCTTCGCCGACTCTTTACATAACCTGTAGAAGAAGAAACGTTGACTAAACACAAAGATATGACGAGTAGTGTGCTCACAAACAGCGCTCAAGCATGCTGGTTCCGAATACACATGGGGTAAGACAAGGTAGTATACTATCTCCCGCGTTCTCCATGGTTGTTACTGAAGAGCGTTTGAGAAACCTCTCCTCCGTCAGAAAGGTTTGGATATACACTCAAACACAAGCAGATGATATCATCCTTGACCAGTTCTCTCATAGACGGCCTCCAAGTCATGCTTTCTGTAAATTAACGCCATATCTCTAATCACAATTCACGTTCTCTGCTAGTAGAAGCAAACAAGCATCAATAGAAGTGGTGCCCTGTACATATCTTTCTTGAACCCATGATAACAAACACGTTGTATAACACAGTTCATCGTTAAATTTTATTATCATTCATAGATCTAGTTTGTACTTCAGTTATGCCAGAGATTGTAAAAAAAAACAAAACCGGCCGGCCCTTGAATTGAATCTCGATTACCTACAGGCCAGAGTCATATAGCTGGAATATATATAGCGATTTTGAAAGGTTCATACAAACAAAATTAACATAGCTGGTCACGTACTCTGCCGGGTGCACAAAGCGACCTTAGCGCTATTACTGTCTTCACTCCAAATATTGAACATAGGTTTATTACAACGGTTACCCTAAGATCGCTTTGTGAAACGGCTCCCTGGTATGGCCTCTACGGGTAATAAAACAGTACATGGAAAGTGACAACGTAGTCAGTGACAGGTTCGATAGGCCTCTCAACAGGGTATACTTCAGGTTGAAGGGTCAGTAATATTTAATGGGATGGGGTTTGGTTGGGTGGGATTATGGCAAGTGGCCCTTCTGATAGCGACGCAATGATAATAATTCCCACTACAAGCCCTAAAATCTCTTGTGAAGTGTCATTAGACTTGAACGCTGTTAACTTGGCTTAAAGTCAAGCATAAATTATTATGCAAGGGAAGTAACTCTTGCACGCTTCAGCCTCTAATCTCCGGGCGACAGGACACGCTGTCAGCCAGTGACGACCTGACAAACAGACCGAGGGTGAATTGACAGTGAATACCGACACGTTCATCCATCCGTAAATGCGTCTTTTCCTCATTGGAATATGCATTGACCAGTGAGCAGTCCCGGTCACTTATCAACTTCGCTTAATCAGCACATTTTACTGTTACAGGTAAGGCTTGTCAGGTGATAATCGCAATACTGCTTTTAAAGATTCCAGTTACATGAATTAACAGTTTAGTGCAAAAGCACAACTGGTAATGGTGCAACAACTTAATACGTGGCAAAATGTCTGAGGGGAGACAGTTTTTGTGTGCAGCAGCATAGTTTGTACCAGGAAAAATGCATTGACGCATTCTTGCGTCTGTTTTGTTCATGTCTTATAGTAAACTAACTATTTATACGTTTTACCGTTAGATGTGCACATGTGTAATATTTACTGTATATAATACATGACCCAGATAAGTTCTCGCTGCACATGAATGCACCGGAAACATTCAAAGTGGAACTATTTTTAACCCATGACCTTTCCCCTGGTTGCCTTGACATACGGTAGGTTCCAAAATCCCATAAGGAAAAAACCATTCTCGGTATTGGCTGACAGGATCTTGTCTGCCCTAATCGAGCGTTATGCTGAGCGTGTTGAGTGGGAATTGAGACGACGGGTCGGACCGCGAGATAAAATCAATAGCTGTTATTAAATGCACGGTGTAATTGAATGGCTGTCGTCTAGCGTATGATTTAGGGAGTCGGGCTAGGTGTATTTCATTGCAGGATACACTGGTAGCAACCTCATTAAAACGTATTGGGATCGTCTCTCACATACGCGGAACCCACATATTACAAACACATCTCTTAGGGCTTTAACCCATGTATCGGCGACCTGGATACTGAAAGCAGTTGAAGCTAACATAAAATCTTCATAACTTGTCTATGACTTTCATTAGCGTCACGAGTGAGTGGGTTTAGTCGTACGCTTCTTTTAGCGATGTTAAAGCAATATCACGACGGGGGACACCAGAAATGGGCTTTACACATTGTACCCATGAGGGGAATTGAACCCGGGTCATCGGCGTGACGAGCGGACACTTTAACCACTAGGCTACACCACCTCCCTCCATCACTAAATATAACACACTCGCTGTTATTTTTGTTGTCATTTTTAGCGATTAGAATACTTATAATGATAGCAAGTAGTTAAGTAAACGGATATTTAATTGTAAGCTGTCAAAGATAGCAAACGAAGTTAAGATATAACAATATCCAAGCCCATTAAGGTGACCTAAGTGCAATTAATGTTAATCGCCAGTGAAAGGACTGCTTGACAAACATATCAATTGGATGGGCGTCATGTTCTTATCACCTCCCTTCGGTGTAAATACAGCATATCTATATCGGTACCTATGTATCTATGGAGGTGTGGTGGGCGGTGTCATAGCCAAGTAGTTAAAGCGTTCGCCCAACTCGACGAAGGCCCTGGTTCGATTCCCAGCATAATACGTATGGTGTCTCCGGTTTTTGGTGTTGATTGGACATTTCCTCTCACTCAAACTCAACCTGTCAAGTATGTACATGCAACTCTCTATTGATCTTTGGCAATTGGACTTGTTGACATTTCTCCATCAGTTTCGACATTGCTTTGATCAAACGGTTCTGGTGTACTTGCAGGGACGTTGAGCGGGTGATCATGTCTGTGAAGAAAGTCCCGGATGCTGAAGGATGCACTTTGACCTTGCTGGAAGTGGACGGGCTCATGTTCCCGACCTTCCCTGCTGACGTCATCAGGGGCGTTCCTGATCTCGAGTTGAGGGACGACGATATTCTTATATCTGGCTACCCTAAAGCAGGTAGGAATAAAATCTCGTAATACTGGAAGATTTCGATTCATCATTATTAAGTGATGATTGAAGGGACTATTAACAGTCCTTTAAAAAATTCATGGTATACCACTTTCTATTTCCATGACTTCTACTAACACAAACATTGTCGAGTACACACACACACACACACACACGCACGCACGCACGCACGCACACACACACACAACAAAACCAACAACAACGCAAAATAAAAACAAAACAAAAAACAAACAAACACAAATAACTACCCCAAAACAACATTGTCACACACAATGTTCCCTGAAGTTCAGCGGTGTACAGCAGTAAAACAAATATTGACAAAAGAAGACAAAAGAATATTTTTTCAGTATGTATACACAAAAGACAAAAGTCGGAAGATCATTGGTACAGATATAATTTCTTCACTTCTAACCGGTTTTACACTGTCAATGTGATCATTTATATAGCATGATACTCTAGCAAACTGCGTGATCATATATCAGCACCTCTGCAATACCTATTCTGCGTTAGACCCTGTCCCTGTGGTAGCAATGTAGATCGGATGGTCGGTGGTCCAAACCCATGCCACAAGATGGGACTTGATGTTACCCTGGCCTGCTTGGTTTAAAAGGGATGAGACAATGAGTGAGTGAGTGAGTATGGTTTTTACGCATTTTTTAGCAATATTCCAGCAATATCACGGCAGGGGACACCACAAATGGGCTTCACACATTGTGCCCATGTGGAGAATCGAACCCGGGTCTTCGGCGAGACGAGCGAATGCTTTAGCCACTTGGCTACCCCACCGCCCCGATGAGACAATGACTGATCGGCATGGGGTCAGTGTGACTGAATGGATCCGAAGTGGTCGTGCGATATAAAAAACAGCACATGTCCGTATTAGTATAAGCAGCCATACGCACGTACGTATTGTATTTGTTTCTGGGTTCTATTCCAGGCACCCATTGGCTGTTTGAAGTGTTGCGTGTTCTACTCAGAGGTTCATGCGACGGGGGAGGGATGGAGAAAGATGACTTCATGATCGAGATGGTGCCCCAGGATCAACTGGCCAAAAAGCCCTCCCCCAGAATATTAAACACGCACGTCCAGTTTACATCGCTGCCCAAGGAAATACACAAACGAAAGACCAAGATTATATACCTGCTACGGAACCCAAAAGATTCGGCCGTGTCGTTTTATAACCATCATCGGAAACTGGTGGAATATTACGATTATCATGGAAAGTTGAAGGATTATCTGCGGTTGTGGGTTGGAGGAAAAGGTTTGAAGCTTTTGTCACCAAGGGGGTCAGCATTTGATATTTTGGGAGTGTTTCCATTGAGCAGAAGGGGAAGGAGAGGGGAGGGGAGGTGGATTATGACTCGGGGCCTATTTGGTCGTTTTCAGTCTTTTCTCATGTTACCAATTCTCTGAAAGGATGCATTTAATGTTCTAACGTTATGATTACCTCACAGTTTTCCTCTTTTCTAAACCCGTGAAGATCCGGGTTAAAATATTGATCTTCAGTTACTCATGCTTGTCGTAAGAGGCGACTAACGGGATCGAGTGGTCAGGCTCGCTGACTGGGTTGACACATGTCATCGTATCCCAGTTGCGTAGATCGATGCTCATGCTGTTGATCACTGGATTGTCTGGTCCAGACTCGATTATTTACAGTCCGCCGTCATATAGATGGAATATTGCTGAGTGCGGCGTAAAACTCAACTCACTCACTCCTCTTTCTAAAATGTCGACATGGTGATGATGATGACGATGTGATGACGATGATGATGACGATGATGATGATGACGTATTCGCCAACAGTTGACTATGGGTCGTGGTTTAATTACGTCCGAAGTTGGCATGAAGGTCTGAGAAGCCACCCTGACATCCCCTCGCTCTCTGTGGTGTATGAAGACATGAAGGAAGTAGGTGACATGGCAGCCATATTTACATTACACACATTACAACGTGTTATGTCAGGTGTGAATACACAACAATCACGTTACCCAGATATGACTAGCTTCCGGTTTCTCATACGTTTTGGGTTTAATGGAGTATACAGATTGTTCACCAGTCGTACTTTCAACGCATCTCTCTGTCTGTCTGTCTGTCTCTCTCAGTCTGTCTTTCTGTCTCGCTCAGTCTGTCTTTCTGTCTCTCTCTGTCTGTCTGTCTCTCCGTCTGTCTCTATCTGTCTCTCTCTCCGTCTGTCTGTCTCTGTGTCTCTCTCTGTCTGTCTCTCTCCGCCTGTCTCTCTCTACCTGCTTCTCTGTCTCTGTCTGTCTCTCTGTCTGCCTGCCTCTGTATAAGTAAATTTACGGGACTGTATTAAATTGAGATTGGATATTTCACTTCGATAAAATACCTCTCTAACGTGAAAATGAATGTAAGTAGTATCGGTGTAAACAGTGTGTGGAATAAACCCAGCCAGCCATCAGCCCAAAATGGATTTAACCAGACCAGACACCGAGAATTCAGTCAAATGTATGTAACATCTAAAATTAGCACCAGACCGTCGGGCTTGCTAGCTGTAAATTTAGACCGTCCGTCAGAAATCTAGCCCGTCTCGGCGGTCGGACGGGCCTTATTTCATACACTGGTGTAAAGCATCTAATTTTAATGACACTGTTGATCTGCAAGCTAAGTATAGGGTTTGACACGGAACAAACCATGACTCCAAAAACTCCATGGGGAAAACAAGGAATCTTAAAACAATATAGCGAGTCTTGTAACACGGCATTTCTTTGTAATTTGGCATCTTTGAAATAGTCATTATGCAGCCGTACAGTTTTATGTCGAACATTAAGTTATCTCGAAGTAGTTCCTTCTTTAAGAATTTTGTTTTCGGTTATGTCGAAAGCCGGCTAACTCGAACTGTACACATAGGTGTCTTCTGTTTCCGTGTTTGACTGCAACTAGCTTTTCGGGACCAATGGGTACCGACTCTCTGGCTGTTTTACCTTTTTAAGATGGATTTTTTTAGTTTGATTTACAAACCACCTGGCATGTGTGTCCCACCATTATGGCAATGTAGGATTATGTCCATGTGTGATATACAAATAGATGCTTGTCACACAACAGGCGTTTTGTCTTTCCAGGATGCTTTATCCCAGATACGAAGAATATCTCATTTTCTGGGTTTGTCTCATGACGACGCCTTCTTACGGAAAGTAGATGACTGGTGCTCCTTTAAGCGCATGCGCGAACGGAAGGGGAAGTATGACCTGACCCCTGAAGGGCAGCCAATCATGTATCGCAAAGGTACGTGCTGCAGTATCAATGTGGCTCCTTTTCCGTTTTGTAGATTTTTAATACCGTATGCCCAAAATACCAAATTATACTTTGTCTCAGAACTTCCGTATCGGCTTGATTTCTCTCAGCGGGTTCGAATCCCTGTTTGCCATGATTTTGTTTAAAGGTTCTTTAGTAACATGCACCCGTGAAGATCCGACTAAGAATTTGTCTTCAGTAACCCATGCTTGTCGTAAGAGGCGACTAACGTGATCGATGCTCATGATGTTGATCACTGGATTATCTGGACAAGACTCGAATATTTACAGATCGCCGCTATATAGCTGGAATATTACCGCGTGCGGCGTTCAACAACCAACTTTAGCACCAGACCCGTGCTTGTAGACCCATATCCCTCTATCACTTTGAGCTTTCCGCCCATGCTGAAATGCAGTGATATGAAGTTCTGTTTAAAGCGGGGTTGAGTCACACTTATAATCTCAATGTTATTTCCAGGTGAGGTGGGGGACTGGAAGAACTGGTTTACCATTGCTGATAATGAATGGTTTGATCAAGTATACAAGGATCGGATGACGGGTATTGATCTGTCATTCAGATACACCATCTGACACGAAGAAAACCATTAAAACAACATTGTACACAGACATAGGCAGTACGTACAAGCCATTGACGCAAAGCTTCTTTGCGGAAGTGACGTCACGACCTCTGTACCAGTATAGATAACTTAGAATAGAACATCTGTCGCTGATTAAAACAATATATATATTTAAAACAATACTGTATTCAAAATAAACTAAAATGAACATTTTATTGAGTGGTATGATAAAGGGAGATAAGTCGTTATGCTATGAGACTTCCAATGATTGAATGTCCAGAGCATGAAAATCCACGTAAGGCTCTTAAAGAAACTGTGCTTAACAAAGCCAAAAATACTTTTACAATGAACGCAATACTTGGCGATAATTTTATATATGGTTGCATACAAAGAGCTGTTTTAGACTTCCTAGTTAAAATGGGTAAGTACAACGTAATTTAACTGAACAAAAATATAACAGTTTGTTAAGTGTTGGGCGCATATAGGCCCAAGGTCGCCCTAAAACCTTACCTACCTACCTGCGTACCTACCTACCTACCTACCTACCTACCTACTACCTACCTACCTACCTACCTAGACGTCCAATGTCCATTTAAACAACAGGAGTACAACTGATAGAGTTACTTCCCCTGTTGGGTGCTCAGGACTGGGTTCAATATCTTGTATTGAGAGTGAGTGAGTGAGTTGGGTTTTACGCCGCTTATAGCAGTATTCCAGCAGCATCAAGGCGGGGGGACACCAGAAATGGACGTCACACATTGTACCCATGTGAGGAATCGAACCCGGGCCTTCGGCTTGACGAGCGAACGCTTTAACCACTAGGCTACCCTACCGCCCCTCTTTTTAAGTGGTGGGTCAACTGTTGCTTGAAGTGATCTGATCCTGGCTTTAGCTTGGTGACCAATTAAATGCGCCCAAGTACTCAGTAGTTTTTTCCGAAGAATTGGTTTGTTTACACCATCAAAAATATTTTTCTACCCGCCTAATTTGATTTTTAATAAACATTTAAGTGTTATGAGAGTTTGTTGTTTAATGACGCGCTCGGCAATATTGAAATATAAGACATTGGTGTGTAAAAGTACTTCTCTGAGCCAGGCATACGAGTGGATGATATTACGAGCATCCGTTTGTGGGTGGTGATACACTATTGACCAATATGCCCAGCCTAACCACCTAGTCCACTAAGTAGCCTCTGAGACCAACTGGAGGTCAGTTCTTATCCATTTCCAATAGATTTTGTACATGTAAACGCGAGGACATATGTTGAAATAAGAATGTCGAACGTTTTCAAAAGTCACACAATTGATTGCTAAAAGCACAGAGTGAGTGAGTTGAGTTTTATGTCATTTTTAACACCATTTCCGCAATATCAGGGTGGTCACCAGAAATGGGCTTGACATATTGACCCATGTGGGGAAGCAAACTCGGGTTTTCAAAGTGACGAGCGAACGCTTTAACCACGTGGCTACACCACTGCCTCCTTAAAGCAGAGATGATTGTAACATTCCGACTCTATCATGATCACGTTCTTATGAATCACTCCAAGAAAGTTCTCATACCCGAGTAGTGGCATCCGTTCCAAAGACACGCAAAGACACGTCATTTGTTCAACACATTGATTCTTGTTACTGATGCATAACATTTGGATTTAGCCCCTTCCATATACCTATTAAAAACAAATACAAATGGATCAGCTATCAAAAGACGCGATGAATTATATTTTTCATGATCATGTAAACAAAGTATTCACATGTATTCAAATATATGAGACCGCCTCCGTGGTGTAGTGGTAAGAGCGTCCGCCCGGAGAGCGGGATCCCCGACCGCGTCGTACCAAAAGACGTTAAAATATGGCACTTGTTGGTCCCTGCCTGGCGCTCGACATTAATGGGTACAACAAGGACTGGTCGGCACGGAGTCAGTATAATGTGTCTGAGTCGGGTATTCATGCTTCACTGCGGCATGGTATCTCAGTGGGCAAGCACTATAAAACCAGCTTAAGTCTGGGCTAGTACAAGCAGCCGCACATACACATACACACGCATGCACGTCGTCATGTGAGCGAACTATTCTCAAGCACGACGTAAAACCAAATTTCACCTTACCTCACCCCACCTCACCTCACCTCACCTCAAATATATGAGTACTTTTCTTATGTATGTTATGCATATACATTTTTGCACATTTGTGGAGGGACTTTAAAAGACGTGACCACTAGAAATCTGTATATACTGTGACACAGGTAAACAGTTGGCTGTTACGCCGTTGATTGTAGACGTTGCCATTGACCCGTAGTGTTGTATTTGAGTCTGTTGCGGTGAAAACGTACCGATGAATTTAACTTTTCAAAATTTAAATCTCAGATTTTTATTCAACTTAGGATAAAAGTTGTTTAACAAACGATCATAGTTTCAAATCGGTATTATTGGTTTGTATTTCAAGGGGGTATGCACATTAAATGAAATACCGAGAACAAGGAGGGTTGGTCTAAGTTAACGCTCATCACGTACCGCACGTGCATTTGTTTCACTGTTCCAACTACTGCGCTTACCCCCTTGTAATACAAACCAATATAAGCGATTTGAAACAATGATCGTTTGTTAAACAACTTTTTTCCTAAGTTGAATAAAAATCTAAGATTTAATTTTGAAATTGGCAAGGTAGAATTATGAGGATTCGCAATCTTAATTTCTCTTTATTTGATTTACATTTTTGTTTAAAGTTAAATTCACCTGTACGTTTTCACTGCAAACAGACTAAAGTGGCTATTTTATACATCATGTTGTACTCATATTTGTTCCCTGCGTGGGGTTTCTTTAGCATAAACGAATTTCCAAGTTGAACTGGTGAAAGAGTGAAGCCGAATCGTTACAGAAAACTGACATGATGATGTGATTGGCAAAAGAATCTATGCATCCTTGATTTGGATTGGACAGTAAAGTTCCACTGAGCGTTCACCTGACATGACCTTCCATGGAGGTGTCAGATCCATTCGTCACGCACTCGTGTTATTCCGGGACCAGCCGCCTTTTGAAGGTTACGGAAAGGGGCGAGTGGTGACGAATCTTCAATCGTTTCTGAGTAAAAACAAATGATTTCAATAAAATTGCTTGATATAACCTTATATATGTTCAGGCAGTCAGTTACTTATGTAAAACACATTTCATTAGATCACAATGGGACTGCGACCTGACCTACACTATAACACTCTTTGCCGGATTGGAAATTAAGGAACAACCGTTTGACCGCCGGTTTGTTTCGACAAAATGGCCTCTTGCTGCATTTACTGGAAACAATGGATTGGTTCTCATGTTATACAAATAGAAACTCAATTGCTCATTGGTTATTTCTGATTTCTAAATATGGTTAAACTGTGTTATTGCATACTAATTATTAAATCCTGCCCTCCACTTAAAATAATTGCAGGGGTGACCGGGTGGCCTAGTGGTTAAAGCGTCCGCTCGTCACGCTGAAGTCCTGAGTTCGATTACCACATGAATACAATGTGCGCAGCCCATTTCTGGTGTCCCCCGCCGTGATATTGCTGCAATATTCGTAAAAGCGGTGTAAAACCATACTCACTAAAAGATTTGCATATTGAAACTCTTACTACATGGATTAATAAGCATTAAAACAGCAGTATAATTAGGTGAATTTTACACGAACGTTAATACCGTTAATAAACGATCTATAAATGACATTGCCCACAGATCAATTCATACTATCTTCACCGATACTTTGTTTTTACGCCAAATGGAATATGTTTCGACTGATGATCGCCACGTTTTTGCTCTCTCAGGCTTTGAGGTTTAATATTTATAATATAACGCTGAATTTAATAATAAAATCCTGTGACAATGTACTGTATATTAATATTTCCATCAGCAAGGGGGACCTTCCTACAGAAGGTATTAGATTTGAACTGTCTTCTATATAAAGAAAGCATGTAGACAGGTTATCGAAGTATATTTCACTAGTATAACGTTACTATATTCACCCGCATGTTCTGTAGGGTACACACTGTCAAACTGTCAGTATTGTGTTGGTGAAATGCACACCAGATTAATCTTTCCCCTGATCGCTGATTCCGGAAAAAAAGGTCAAACGTGTGGATTCCGTGTACATTACAACAATGATTGACAGGTCATTCATCCCTAATAAGGGAGTAGTGTTGCTGAACACTCCCTTGGCGCCATCAGCTCATGCCGGTTGCTTGAAAACACTGTTTCCCTTGTTAGATGTCATGTTGTTATCTGATATGTCATCAACTGACGACCCTCCAACACCTGAGGGGATGGAATAGGTTACCTGGATTAACTAGCCACTGATTGCAACCTGTGAATGTTTCAGATGCGATGATTAAAAAACTATTAAAAGAATGTTTCACGAAGATTAGTTTATATTTTCAAAACAATTTTCATTTCCACAGGGGTCTCCTTTAAATGAATATGAAACATTAGACCGTTTTTATGCGGACGAAGTCTGTAGATGAGACCGGGCTTCTTTATTTTCTTCAAAATGACAGCAAGAGAAATATAAATAATCCTCAGCCATTTGATTTCAGTATATGACGCCTATATCATAAATGTATGCAGGGCTTCCAGCCCCAAGAGAAAGAATAAGCTTGAGATGCCTGGTTCCAAGGGCCTCAGATCACGGCCGGGTCCACAAGCCCATCTGAAGCCAACGCATAAATAAAATTCCCTTTTCAGAAATGTCACTGAAAAAAACCCCACCGAAATGTATTCAGACCCATTTGAGAGATACTTAATGGATTTTTATTTCTATATTTTCATCTTAACCTAGTTTAGCGTGAGATTGATGAGTTTTGCCATGATGGCGTGACATGAATAATAAGAATGTGAGTCTCAAGCCAAAGTCGTGAGCTTTGGAAGGTATGACTTATATGGTTAAAAAAAACAACAAAACATGATAACAATAAAAACGAACGGTTCTGAAACACAATATTCACGTCATGAAAAAAATGAATTAAAGATTGCTCTGTCCAGCAGTTCATCATCATCATCATCATCATCATCATCATCATCATAACACATTTGTAATGCCCTGGTATCCATGCAGTCCATGCCCAAAGCGCAGATAGAATGTAACAAATTACACAGTCAGGCTGTCCTGAACAAATGTGTTTTTAACTGGGATTTGAAAGTGACAAAGTCAGTACAGTCCCTGAGATTCTGTGGAAGTTTGTTCCA